TAAAATTCCCATCAAAAGCTCTGGCCTTGTCTGCAGCTGATCTGTGCACAACACTTTTGGCGCCCATGCTCAGCTTTCATTTTTCAGTCAGGATTGTGTAAGCTGAACTGGTTGAGATGTCTGTGATGTTTCCTATTGTTCAAACTATTGCTTAATCCTCAGACTTCTTCACAGGGGGCATAAACAAGATTAACTTTTTCCTTACAAATTGATGTCGATGGTCTGTTGCTACAGGCTTCATCTTCATCCTTGTCCTGTCCTTTCTTCAAACAAGTTATCCATTTGTAAACTGCTGGTTTCTTGGGGCATTGTCCCCATAAATTTTTTCTAAAGCATCAATGATTTTATCATTTGCAACCCACACTTGACCATAAATTTGATATTTGTTTTTGTTTCAACTATAGCAGAATTCATGTTGCTTTAATAGGGACGTCTTTCAAATTGATGTCTTGCCTTTCTTAGTGCCTCAAACTAGACCAATGATTTCCTTTTTTTTTTTTGAGACAGAGTCTCACTTTGTCCCCTTGCCCACCCCCATAGAGGGCTGTGGCATCATAGTCACAGCAACCTCAAACTCTTGGGCTCAAGTGATTCTCTTGTCTCAGCCTCCCAAGTACCTAGGACTACAGGCACCCACCACAATGTCCAGCTATATATATATGTATATATATGTTTTAGAGACAGGGTCTAGCTTTTGCTCAGGCTGGTCTAAACCAGTAAGGTCAAGTGATCTGCCCATTTGGGCCTCCCAGAGTGCTAGGATTACAGGCATAAGCCGCTGCACCCGGCCTAGACCAGTGGCACACTGATGTGCCATAAGAGGACCTGCAACATGCCTCAAAAAATTTTAAAGATCAATAACTAAATTATTTTTGAAAGAAGTTCAAAGTCCAGTAACTATATTCTTTTTTTTACTCTTGTTTTTGATCAGCGTAATTTAAGTGTGCTGCAGAAGTTTAAATACAGCTTCAAAGTGTGCCGTGAGATGAAAATGATGGAAAAACACTGAACTAGACCCTATGCAGATATGTTATAACAAGGTATAACAAGGTAGTACAAGTTATTTGGCTATTAAAAATTTTGAAATTTATGCATAGTTTTGCACCATATGTATTTTCCATGAACTTTTTGAAGACCTTTCATTTTAAGGATATTGGCCTTTTGTCTAAGATATTGGTTGCAAATATTTTCTCTGTTTCATTTTCTTTTGACTATGCTTCTATTTTTTGCAATGCAGCCATTTCCCTTTATTTTTATGTAATCAAATGAATCAATCTTACACTGCATTTAGGTTTCGAGATATAGTTAGAAAGCCTTTTCCCACACATAGGTTATAGAAACATTTATTACTGCTCTTTTCTTCTTCTTGGATGGATTTTGGCTTCTACATTTAGATCCCTGGTCTAATTGGAGTTTATTCTTGTGTGTGCTAAGATATGGATCTAATTTTATCTTTTTTTCCCAAATGGCTAGCCAGGTGTCTCACTACCATTTACTAAGAACTTCATCTTTGTCCCAGTGATTTGAGTTAGCATCTTTATCGTGTTATCACTTAAACTTCTGTTGTGCCAAAAAGTTTTTATGATCAGAAAGCTACACTTTTTTCTTCCTCAAAGTTATCAGTATAAACTGAAGTGAATTACTTCATTTAGAAAAAATTAACAACTTTAAGTTTACATAGCAACTAGAGTTTGGGTTAGGGAACAGTTTTATTAGGCCCAGTGGGTAGCTTGAAAGAGTAAATGTGTCTTACAAAAATGGTCACTCCAAGGAAGAGTGGATGCACGCGAATGAATATATATAATGTTTAGTGTATGTTATGATTACTGAGCCATCAGTATAAAGATTGCTATATTAATAAGCATCAAGTGACTATTGTGCTAAACACAGGGATGCCAATGGTCATCAAAATGGTGTGGTCTCTGACCTCCTGGAGCTGCTTCTTTTTTTTTTTTTCTTTTAATGAGAGAGGCAGACCTTGTACTTACATAAAAAAATAATTATAAAACTTCAACCAAGAGCCAGGCACCGTGGCTCATCCCCATAATCCCAGCATTTGGGAGACGGAGGCAGGTGGATTGCCTGAGCTCATATCAAGACCAGCCTAAGCCAGAGTGAGACCACAGTCTCTAAAAATATCTGGGCATTATAGTAGGCACCTATAATTCCAGCTACTTGGGAGGCTGAGGCAGGAGCATCACTTAAGCCCAGGAGTTTGAGGTTGCTGTGAACTATGACACCACAGCACTCTACCAAGGGTGACAAAGTGAGACTCTGTCTCAAAAAAAAAAAAAAAACTTGCCTGTAATCCTAACACCATGGGAGGCTGAGGCGGGAGGATTGCTTGAGCCAAGGAGTTTGAGTTTGCTGTGAGGTATGCTGACACCATGTCACAGCATTCTAGCCTTGGGCAACAGAATGAGATTTTTCTCAAAAATAAATAGGTAAAGATAATAATAATAAAACTTTAAATTATATAAGTTCAATGGAAAAAATATATAAGTTACTCTGAGAGAGCATAACAAAGGATACTGGTTTTAATCAGGGCCTAATGGAAGACTTCTCTAAGGAAATAACATTTGAACTGAAACCTAAAATTTTGTAGAAATTACTGAAGTAAAGGGAGGGGGAGAAAGAAACTTTCTTGGGAGAGGAACTGCCTGCGGTAAGGCCCACACTCAAAGCAGAGCAATGGAGTATAGTGAGAGAAGAGAGAAAGCATGAGAAATTTGATACTATGCAAAGGATTTGGTATTTTATTTTAAGAGTAGTGTGATGCTGCTGGGAAGTAGCTGGAGAATTGTATAATTCAATTAAAATTTCAGGAAAATCACTCTAGCTGCTGTGGAGAATGGATCCACAAAGGTACTACTGGTTTATTAACCTAAGAGGTTTTGTTGTTGTTTTTCCAGGTTAATGTGAGGGTACAAACAACCAGGTCATGATATTTGAATTTATCAGGTAGAGTCCCTCTTGTAGTTATGTCCTGCACCCAAAATGTGTGCCCTATACCCCTACATTGTGCCCATTGTAAGAGCACCCCAAACCTCCCCTCCGCCCCTCTCCCCCTTCCCTTGTTCCCTCTCCTCCCAACTTGAATTGCAATGAGTTTTTCTCCTATGTGGGTGTGAATTAGATCATCTACTGGCTTTTATGAAGAGGTTTTATGAAAACTATAGCCCTTATTATTAATAAGAAAATTACTTATTTTTTAAAGCTGATTTCTAAAAACAAGACTGTGAATTAAGTGATACTAAATGGGAAAGAAGATAGATAAATCAGTATGTTTCCAAATAAGCTTCTAAACTAGTGCTTGTCAAACTTTAATGTATTTTCAACTCATGCTGGTGTTTTGCTAAAATGCAAATTCTGATTCAGTAGCCTTTCCAACAAGCTCTCAGGTGATGCCTGGGCCCTGGTCCTCCTACTTGGAGAAGCAAGTGACTGGGCTGTATTCTATATTCTAAATTCTAAATATATTCTGCCTTCTAATGCCTATCAGCCTTATTAAAGGTCTGGCCAATTGTCAAACTTAACTATTTAAAACTGGGGGTTATAAGAGATTAAAGTATTAAAGAAATACATAGCTTTGTATCTCTTCAGGAAATAGGCTATAGATACTTACTTCTCATCACCTAGCTAATCTATCTGTCTACCTCCTGCCTATTTCAAGGTTCTGTTACAGTTCAGAAAAGACTATGTTCAATCAAAGTGATATTCAAGATAAGTATATAGAAACAGTATGAAATATAACTTTATATCTAGCTAGACATATAGTTATATAAATATCTAGCTAGTTATGGAGACATAACTTTATATCCAGCTAGCATCTAGTGGGGTAGTTTGCATCATTAATTGGCTTACTCTATGCCAAGTACTTTACCTGCCTTATTCACTTGATAGGATAGGATTCTGAGAACACTTAGAAGTTAGTTTCTTGTTCAAAGACACACTCAACTCAACTCTGGCTTATATCATAGAAGACTTTCTTATTTGTTATCCAAATCATTGCTATTTTGTTTGGTGAATGCAGTCCTAAATGGAAAACTCAAGGTTCTTTATTCTCTGGCTAAAGACACTTTACTTCTCTAAGGACTTATGGAGCTTTGCTGCTATTCTCTCAATCATTTTATTAAGGTGATTAGATGGCAAGTATACTTGGTTTTTAAATTTTCTCCTCCTACCTCCTTTTCTCTCCTCCGCCTCCTTTTCCTTCTTCCTCTTTCTTCATTATTCTTTATTAACAATGCAATTTCTCCTTGTGGTACATGAACCCAAGATCTTGAGAAAAGGATTGATCAAGTAAAGGGAAATATTTGAGAGATTATGCTCTACAATTTGAGATTATGCTCCTTGTCAAAGACAGAGTAAGAAATTTCATATTGCTCCCTGGTTCTTAAGAACTGAGAGCTGGCCAGCTGATGACCTGCACCTGTTAATCCTAGCTACTGTGGGGGCTGAGGTTGGAGGGTCTCTTGAGTGAAGACTTCAGTGAGCTCAACCTGCCACTGCACTCTAGCCCGGTAACATAGGGAGATCCACCCTCCCGCCCCATCTCGAAGAGAGAGAGCACACTAAACAATGACATCCAGTTTTAAAAGAAATGAATTCAGAATTGTATTTTTAAGGCAGAGTTAAACCAAGCACATAGCTCCTGCAGATTTGTTCTACTGGGGAAATGACAGGGAATCCTTCAGTTTCATTTGGTAAGAAAGAAAACTGAAATTATTGACATCTCTACAGAAAGGCTAAATGCCTCCTTACAAGTAGGGTCCAACTAATCGCCTGTCTTCCAAAAAAAAAAAAAAAAATAGATCTGTTGGTTGTCCACACAATGTTGTGTCGGGTTTTGGTTTGGTTTGATCCCCCTTTCTGTGGTCAAAGAAAGCGATTAAGGTGTTTAATAGGCCTTGATTTGGCTTGGAGTCTTTGCAGAACCGCCAGCTTCATTGTCCCGCTGCTGGCTTTCCAGGCTAAGGTAGGCTTCCTATGTACAGATACCGGCAGGTCGCTTTGGCTGGAAACTCTGGAAGTAAGCCAAAGGAAAGTGAAGTTCCTGGCGCTAGCGCGTGTCCTGCTCCGAGAGCCCGGCGCTAGCGCATTCTTCGTGCAGTTATTGGCTGGGACTCTGTGTGCCGCTGTCGGCCAATGAAGACGCTGGAGATCTGGCCCCGGCCCGTCCCCTTTCGGCGCCCCGGGATGAGGCAGAGACTGAACAGTCGGCGAGCAAATCAGCGGCATCCAGAAAGCCATGTCGGACTCGGCGCCCAGCGCCGGAGCGCTAACCCGCTGAAAGTTTCTCAGAAAATCGCCAGGACAATCTGGACCCCGCGGAGAGGAACTGCTTTTGAGTGAGATGGTCCCAGAGGCCTGGAGGAGCGGACTGGTAAGCACCGGGAGAGTGGTGGGAGTTTTGCTTCTGCTTGGTGCCTTGAACAAGGCTTCCACTGTCATTCACTATGAGATCCTGGAGGAAAGAGAGAAGGGTTTCTCTGTGGGCAACGTGGTTGCGAACCTCGGTTTGGATCTCGGCAGCCTGTCAGCCCGCAGGCTCCGGGTGGTGTCTGGAGCTAGCCGAAGATTCTTTGAGGTGAACAGGGAGACCGGAGAGATGTTCGTGAACGACCGTCTGGATCGAGAGGAGCTGTGTGGGACCCTGCCCTCCTGCACTGTAACTCTGGAGTTGGTAGTAGAGAACCCGCTGGAGCTCTTCAGTGTGGAAGTGGTGATCCAGGACATCAACGACAACAACCCCGCTTTCCCTACCCGGGAAATGAAATTGGAGATTAGCGAGGCTGTGGCGCCAGGGACGCGCTTTCCGCTCGAGAGCGCGCACGATCCCGATGTGGGAAGCAACTCTTTACAAACCTATGAGCTGAGCCGAAACGAATACTTTGCGCTTCGGGTGCAGACGCGGGAGGACAGCACCAAGTACGCGGAGCTGGTGTTGGAGCGCTCCCTGGACCGAGAACGAGAGCCCAGTCTCCAGTTAGTGCTGACAGCGCTGGACGGAGGAACCCCGGCTCTCTCCGCCAGCCTTCCTATTCGCATCACGGTGTTGGATGCTAATGACAATGCGCCTGCTTTCAACCAGTCCTTGTACCGGGCGCGCGTGCTGGAGGATGCACCCCCCGGCACTCGCGTGGTGCAAGTCCGTGCCACGGATCTGGATGAAGGCCCCAACGGTGAAATCATTTACTCCTTCGGCAGCCACAACCGCGCCAGCGTGCGGGAACTATTCGCCTTAGATCTTGTAACTGGGGTGCTGACAATCAAGGGTCGACTGGACTTCGAAGACACGAAACTCCATGAGATTTACATCCAGGCCAAAGATAAGGGCGCCAATCCCGAAGGAGCACATTGTAAAGTGTTAGTAGAGGTTGTGGACGTAAATGACAATACTCCGGAGATCACAGTCACCTCTGTGTACAGCCCAGTCCCCGAGGATGCCCCTTTGGGGACTGTCATTGCTTTGCTCAGTGTGACCGACCTGGATGCTGGCGAAAATGGGCTGGTGACTTGCGAGATTCTACCAGGTCTCCCCTTCAGCCTTACTTCTTCCTTGAAGAATTACTTCACTTTGAAAACCAGTGGAGTCCTGGATCGGGAGACCGTGCCAGAATACAACCTCAGCATTACAGCCCGAGACGCGGGACTCCCTTCCCTCTCAGCTCTTACAACAGTGCGGGTCCAAGTGTCTGACATCAATGACAATCCTCCACAATCTTCACAATCTTCCTACAACATTTATGTTGAAGAAAATAATCTCCCTGGGGTTCCAATACTAAACCTAAGTGTCTGGGACCCTGATGCCCCACAGAATGCTCGCCTTTCTTTCTTTCTCTTGGAGCAAGGGGCTGAAACGGGTCTAGTGGGTCGCTATTTCACAATAAATCGTGACAGTGGTATTGTGTCATCCTTAGTGCCCCTGGACTACGAGGATCGGCGGGAGTTCGAATTAACAGCTCATATCAGCGATGGGGGCACACCAGTCCTGTCCACCAACATCAGCGTGAACATATTTGTCACTGACCGTAATGACAATGCCCCTCAGATCCTATACCCCCGGCCTGGTGGAAGCTCGGTGGAGATGCTGCCTCGAGGTACAGCTGCGGGCCACGTGGTCTCCAGGGTAGTAGGCTGGGACGCAGACGCAGGGCACAATGCCTGGCTCTCCTACAGCCTCTTGGGAGCCCCCAACCAGAGCCTTTTTGCCGTGGGACTTCACACGGGTCAAGTCAGCACTGCCCGCCCAGTCCAGGACACAGATTCTCCCAGGCAGACTCTCACAATCTTGATCAAAGACAATGGGGAGCCATCCCTGTCAACCACTGCCACCTTAACAGTGTCAGTAACCGAGGACTCTCCTGAAGCCAGGGCCGAGTTTCCCTCTGGCTCTGCCCCCCGGGAGCAGAATAAAAATCTCACCTTTTATCTACTTCTTTCTCTAATTCTGGTCTCTGTGGGATTCGCAGTCACAGTATTAGGAGTGATCATCTTCAAAGTTTACAAGTGGAAGCAGGCTAGGGACCTATACCGAGCTCCGGTAAGCTCCTTGTACAGAACACCAGGGCCCTCTTTGCACGCGGACGCCGTGCGGGGAGGCCTGCTACCGCCTCACCTTTACCACCAAGTGTATCTCACCACTGACTCGCGCCGCAGCGACCCGCTGCTGAAGAAACCTGGTGCCGCCAGCCCGCTGGCCAGCTGCCAGAATACGCTGCGGAGCTGCGACCCGGTCTTCTATAGGCAGGTGTTGGGTGCGGAAAGCGCCCCTCCCGGACAGGTAAGGATTAGCAAGTCATCCCTGAACGGTATAATGCTTTCCTCCCACTCTGGGGAATATAAGGAGGGAGTTTCTAATGATAAAGACATTTTCCTAATGATGCATTCGCACTTTCTCTTGGCCCTTTCTAGATCAAACTTGGCCTTTGTGAGGAGAGAGGCCACCTAGAGTGTGGTTTGTGGTCCCATTTCAGGGTGAGTTACTTGACTCATCTTGTGGACACAATTCACACTCTCAGCACTCATTCGCTGTTACAACTAACCAGTCTTGCTAAGGGGTGGTTAAGTCATAGCCTAAGATCTCAGCACTCAGCTTAGCTTGGTATCATTTGTATTGGGGACGAACTGCTGGATACCCATAATCAGCGGTAGCTGATTAGATATCCTCATTTGTCCATCTTTCAAGTGATTGCTACATCTGCATTAAAACTTTTTAAAAATAATTTTCCTTTGCCTACTCAGATCTTGTATTTCATTCTCAGATAACTTTCTATGAATGAATAAAATTCTAGACATCCTTTAAATTTTATTTCAAGCACAATACTGGAAATGATTTTCAGCCTACTTACAAAAATGTTTTTATGGGCCGGGCATTGTGGCTCACACCTGTAATCCTAGCACTTTGGAAGACCAATGTGAGAGGATCATTTGAGTCTGGGAATTTGAGTTTGCAGTGAGCTGTGGTGATGCCACTGCACTGTAACCCAGGCAACCGAGTGAGACCCTGCCTCAAAAAAAAAAGTTATGTTATAATACTAATGCATGTGGCTTGGCGCCTGTGGCTCAAGCAGCTAGGGCGCCAGCCACATACACCTAAGGTGGCGGGTTCGAATCCCCAGCCCAGCCTGCCAAACAACAATGATAGCTGTAACCAAAAAATGGCCAGGCGTTGTGGCGGGGGCCTGTGGTTCCAGCTACTTGGGAGGCTGAGGCAGGAGACTCGCTTAAGCCCAGGAGTTGGAGGTTGCTGTGAGTGTGATGCCATAGCACTCTACCCAGGGGTATAGCTTGAGGCTCCGTCTCAAAAAAAAAAAAAAAACAATACTAATGCATGTGCATTGTAGAAAATTTGGAAAATATGGGAAAGTATAAAGAAAAAAGGTAAAACTAATTGTATTCTCCAAACCCCCAAATAACTATTAGTTATAAAAGTAATTACACACATATATATGTGTGTGCGCGCATATATATGTGTGTATACATATGTGTGTATGTGTATGTGTGTGTATATATATATGACGGGATCTCCTTGTATTGTCCAGGCCGGAGTGCAGTGCCTATTCAAAGAATGATTCCACTACTTATCAGCACAGGGGTTTTGGCCTGCTTTTGTTTCCTACCTCAATTGTTTTCTACCCAGTTAACTCCTCCCTTAGGCAATGTGGTCTCCTGCTCCTGAGAGGTCACCATATTGATGTTAGACTTAAACTTACCCCAATTGATTGATTGGCATAGTACTACAGCCCAGAACTCCTGGACTCAAGTGATTCTCCTGAATTAGGAAAATAGGCAGATGTCTGTGTCTGTCTATTTTGAAAATAAATCTAGACAACCTAAAAGAATGCAGGAATTTGGGCATCAATATAGTGACCTCCTAATAGTGGGATACCACCAGTTTGCCTAAGGTGGTGAAACAAGCCCAGGTCAGAAAGGAAGCAGGTCAAAACTCATGTGCTGATCAGTAGTGGGACTGTCCAGTGAATAGCCATGGCATTCCAGCCTGGGCAACAGCAAGATCCCATCTGTTTAACAACAACAAAACAAAACAAAACCCAAAAAAAATCCATAACGTACAAAAAGAATTTTCTTTTTGTGCCTCCAGTGTTATTCCCTATCCTTCCAGCATTATTTTTTTTAAGTATACACATAATGTGAAAGGTAAAGGCATATCCTTAGAAAGATAAAGCATTCATTCATTTAGAATGGTATGCACGTGACTGCAAGGCCTTTATTTTGGAGAGAAACCTACACCTACTCTCCACTGCAGGGGAACCACTGTTATATTGTTATTAAGTGTTTTATTGCTATCAACTCTTGGATTTGGCAGTTACATAGCCAAGGCTCCACCACTTACCAACAATGAGTCCTTGGCCAAATTACTCCTTTCTAAACCTCTTTCTCAGATACAAAAAGGGGATAATATGTGTTTTTATAAGATTAATGCATAATATAATGTATGTAAAGTGCTTAGCACAGTGCCTGGCATATCCTAACTGTTAAAAATTATTAACTATTACTATTATTATTATTATTAGTTCTTCACCCACCCAAAAATCTTTTTTTTTTTTTT